CTTGAGTTGATAATTCAAAACAATGGAGAGATTGAGGAAGATGTCGTATATGGAATTAGAGTTGGGTGGATAAAGTGGAGATGTACAACTAGAATTTTAATTAATCCCCGCATACTAATGAAGCTGAAGATAAAGTTCTATAGGATAGATGTGAGACCAACGTTGCTAGATAGGTTAAAAACCAATATATCCACCAAACGAGTATTGGGAACATGAAGATGTTGAGATGGATGAGTGAGAAGATATGAAGAGATAGAATTTGAAATGAATATATTCGAAAAAATTTAGGTGTGGCAGGTTAGGCTCAAGAGGAGACCCGATTGTCCGGCCTTTAAATATGAGATGTAAGTCTAGGCATGTAAGGTTCAAGAGGAGAACTGACTACCACCCTTTAAATATGGATGTAGGTCCAGGTAGGTTAGAGTCAAAAGGAGACCTGATTGTCGGTCTTTGAATATAGGATGTAAGTCCAAACAGGTTTGGCTCAAGAGGAGACGTTATCACTGGCCTTTGCATATGGGAGGTAGGTCCAAGCAAGTTAAGTTCAAGAGGAGATCCGACCGCTGACCTTTGACTATGGGATGTAGGTTTAGGTATGTTAGGCTCAAGAGGAGACCTGACCCCTGGCCTAGGGATTCCCTTTGAAAAACGAGGTGCTTGAGTAACCCTAGGCTGCTGCGCCTTGATGATCAGAATTATGCAACACGGCTTAGTGGTTTCCTCGTGTGCAAAGCTGTGGGTTCCCCGTGTGGTTAACTTGCAGTTGCTCATTGCACCTGAACAATGGGGCTATTATCAAGGAAGCCGCTGCTTCATGTGCGATGCCCGATGCAATCTTAGGATTGATGGATATGGTACATCTATTCTAACGAGACACCTTTGATACGCGAGTTATCCTCGCTCATACCTCATTGCCATTATTCGACGTGCTTATACCTACTTCTCCAACTTCCACTGGTGTGCCCTGAGATTCACAAGCACATGAGAGCCTACCCTTCACAGGAATGTCCCCAACAACACACTGGATGGTGGTCCTCCACTGACTTTTCGACTGACAACTACAACCCATGATCCGTCCCCGCTTCTCATGGTAGGTTAGGGTGATGCAAAGGGGGCTGCTGGTTACTGAAATTTTGACCTCTACCTATGATTACCCCCATGTTCTATTGCTTGATGCATTTGCCCAGTTTCCCTTTCCAATGAGGCACTCAAATCAAAAGGCCCTTTGCTAACAACACTCATAATTGCTACCACTAGTAGAGTGCACGACACCAGTATGGTACTTACTACGAAAGATGATGTGAAGACAACTATGTAGGAACCCTTTTGACGACCTGTGTAAAGAACACAGGGGATTGATCACCAACGTAGAAAGAGAGAGATCGAGAGAGTTACGTTCATGAAGCCCATTCTTTTGCCCTATCCAAGATGAATGGTGAACTCCTTCCTCCTTATTGGAGTATACTGGAGATTTGGCTACCAAGAAATGTGTTAAGACATATATTTATAATATTATGACTCCATATCCATATGCAGAGAAATGAACCAAATAACTAACACAACTAGGGCCAAATTTGCCCTTAAATTTCGTATCATGAAAATGAAAGGGTTTCTTACTTATATACTAGGGTCTCAGGAGTTCTAAGAATTTCCAATTCCCATTACAGTTTACATCAACCCTCTCTACGGGGTTGAAGACCTTTGATTCAGCTTATTATTACATAAATCTAAAAAGAAACATATCCATTAGTATGGAAAATATCAATACTGAAGGAAGGTCATAGTTAATCTTGATTGTTGAAAGTGAATTTGATTGGCTACTTTTATTCTATTAATGAGGCTAAAGGTCCAAAAGAAACTTTTTAAATTTTATGCCACAACTAAGCTATCATATTTCATATCTAATAATGATTATGACATCTTTGTACCAAATATAAGTATGAAAAAGTTGTTCCTGATTCTAGGGGCACATGTATCCCCTGAACCATCCAACATAATCATCTGATAACTATAGATGATTATAACCTCTTTGGACCAAATATAAATATGAAAAAGTTGTTTGTGATTCTTGGGGTGCATGTATCCCCTGACCCATCCAACGTTCCAACGTCTATCCTAAGATGGATGTTGAAATAGGAGGAAACCCAAACACGTAAAT